GGAGCAAGTACCAGTGTTTTCTAAACCAGAGAAGCAGCAGGACTCGGTGGCACCCCAGTTCTTCAGGCTCCACTGTCCCTCTCTAACGGTGCCCTGACCTGGGATCTGGAGCAGAGAGAGCCACTGTGCCAGGCTCTGAGCCCCCGGGTTTAACAAGGCCAACCAGAGCAGTTCAAGGAGGTGAAGGAGTCCTCTCAAGGGCACGAGCAGGCAGGCCAGAGTGAAGGGGCAAAGCGTAACCCAAAGAAGTCACTTACTATCCCTGGAATGTCAGCTACTACCCAAGTCTGTTTTCTGGGAGGGTTGGGTGGAGGTAGGCAGAGAGCCCTTTGCAGGGATCATCGTATCGCACCGGGATCGAACTCCCATTCTTCTCCTCCTAAAGCCCGCATGGCTTGCATCCTTAGCTCAGCCTGAGTCACTGCTGTGTTCAGTTCCTACAGAAGATGTGGCAAGTGAAGGTTGCCTCCCACCAGGTTAAAGGCAGGGAAAGAATGTGCTCACAACACTGAGTTAAGTGGTGCTCATGACTGCGGGGAAAGCTGAAATGGACCTCCGTCACTGCATTCCTGAAAAGCGCAGGAATCAATACTCAGTGAATAGAAGTCTGGCTTTCAAACTGAAGCATCCTGACTTATAAATACCACTTCAGAGGCAATTCGTCTGGCTTGATTGATCTTCAGTTGTCAGCAAGATCTTATCTTCCCACCTGAAGGTCTCTACTCCTCAACCTTTCTATCAAGAAAGAGGTAAAATCGTGTATAAGAAGGAGCCTGCACCAAATCAAAGACTGAGATTCGAATTCTGGCCGTGCCATAAACTAGCTGGGTGTGCTTGGATATATCACAACTGTTGTAGGCTTCAGTTTTCTGCAAATTGAACTGGAAGACTGGATTATCTTGGAGGTGGCATATTAATAAAGACTCATTGTTAAAAGTGAAGAAACCTCAACTCATATTCACGTGAGCAAATCCAGGAGTTTTTTGGTTTGTGTAACTGAAAGGTCCAGGGCAAGTTCTGGCTTCAGGCCGAGCCTGAGCAGAGACTCACATGATGCTAGATATCTCTGTCTTTCTGAGTCCTTTGTGTGTGTGACTGTGTTGGCTTTGTGCTCAGAGAAGACCTCTTACAGCCTGCTGGTTTAACAATGTTAGCACACAAAGTGCATCTTTCAAAGATTCTGGAAGTCATGGTGCTGAGGCTCATAGGCTCTGCTTATGTCATAAACTCTTTCAGGAAAAGAGGATATGGTGTTATGATTGGCTAGGCCTGGGTCACGTGCCCATTGAGGGGGGTAAGGGAGGAGTGGTTTTCAAAAGAAAATCTCTACACTGCTGGGCAGGCAAATGTAGCAGATGTTGAACACAGATGGTATAACAGAAAAATATACTGGTGTCCCAAAAAATGTATACATGCCCGGCCAGTGTAGCTTCGTGGTTGAGCATTGACCCATGAACCAGGAGATCACGGTTCCATTCTCAGTCAGGGCACATGTCTGGATTTTGGGCTCAATCCCCAGTAAGGGGAAGTGCAGGAGGCAGCTGATCAATGATTCTCTCTCATCATTGATGTTTCTATCTCTCTCTCCCTCTCCCTTCATCTCTGAATCAATAAAAATATAAAAAAGTATATATACACTTTGAATAATTATTAATTCCAATGGGTTAAATCTGAAAAGAAAAAAGCATCGCTTGAGCTATCAAAAATGTATGTGACACTGTGTGTGTGTGTGTGTGTGTGTGTGTTGGATTCAGGCCATGTCACTAACTGGCTAGGTAACCATGAATAAGTTACCTTAGTTTACTCATTTAAAAACTGGGATGAGCCCTGGCCACCAGTGCAGCTCAGTTGATTGAGCAGGTTTGCCTTTTTTTTAAGGAATATATATATATATATATATCAGAGAGGAAAGGAGAAGGAGATAGAAACATCAATGATGAGAGAGAATCATTGATCGGCAGCCTCCTGCACACCCCCTACTGGGGATCGAGCCTGCAACCTGGGCATGTGCCCTTGACCAGAATGGAACCTGGGACCCTTCAGTCCGCAGGCTGACGCTCTATCCACTGAGCCAAACCAGCCAGGGCAGGCAGGTTTGCTTTTTGATAGTAGAGGATCTTAGAACACATTAGAGCTTTGTAGGTCATAAAGTTAGTGCCAAGAAATCATCCCACAGCAAAGTTTCAACAATCCAGCATTGCATTATATATCAGGAAATCAATGGAGCCAAAAAAAAAAATAAGTGACTCAGTGTAACCACACTCACAAAAGACTGATGCAATTATTTGCCTAACAATTTATTAATTTATGATCAGGATAATGTCCCATAAAATATCAATGTTCCCCCATCCAGGAAAGCCCCCTCCCCTTTGCTAGAAAATAAATACCTCACCAGCAAGTAGCTTGGTAGGCATGGAGTCCGTCTTGAGGACCACCTTACTGAGCCATGGCGAGGTCTGACAGAGCATTTCCATGACCCAACTCATTGCACCAAATGTAGCATCTGTCAGCCTCTGCATTTTCTAGCTTCTCTTTTCCGGGGTCCTAATTGGCCAGGCCTCTCCGATTCCCATCATCTGTATCTGGTCCACACTATCTATAACTACTCTAGTTGATGAGATGTCAGTCAATTATAATCACAATCCAGTTCTGCCTTCTTAAAGCTTCACTCGGTCGCCACGATGGAAATGTGTGTGTGATCCCAAATTCTTCAGGTATCCACTCATGTCTAGCCCCACCGGTAGCTAATCTCACCCTTCCTGTATGGGTTTTATTAGTTAACCACAGAAACAGCCGGGTTTCCCTGACAGTCTAGTTCTTGGGCACCCTTGAAAGATACTATCAAATCTTACCAAGGAGGGTGCTCACGTGGAGCATGAATTTATGACGTACTCCCGAAGTATGTCATATTTCATGGTTTTCTGTTTTTAAACATAAGGGCAATGTTTTTGTTAATCAAGGCGCTCCGTTTAGAGTTTTGAAGACACAACTACAGAATTTTACTTTGTTTTTCTTTTTAAATATATTTTATTGATTTTTACAGAGAGGAGGGGAGAGGGATAGAGAGTTAGAAACATCGATGAGAGAGAAACCTCGATCAGCTGCCTCCTGCACACCCCCTACTGGGGATGTGCCCGCAACCCAGGTACATGCCCTTGACCGGAATCGAACCTGGGACCCTTCAATCCGCAGGCCGACGCTCTATCCACTGAGCCAAACCGGTTAAGGCATTACTTCGTTTTTCTACCGCAGCTTCTCTACCTTTGCCTCCCCAGTTTTAGTCTGATTACATTGACACCCTCTGCTCTCATTTTCTGCCCGTGTCTGCTTCCGACTGTGACAGTTGCTCCTCAGCCTGGTATTTTTTCTCTCCTTTGAGCCTCAGTGGAACGACTCTCTGATAGGGATCGCTCACAACCCCCCTCTCGCATTTCCCCCTTAATCTCTATCATGTATTTTTCTCTCTGTCTCCTTGTGCGTTCCCTTGTTCCCTCCTGTGGGTGTGTATTTGATCCTGCCCCCTACCCCATGTGCTCTCTGTGATTCTCCACGTCTCTTCGCCTATTCTTCTGTCTCAGTGCACTTCCCTGCTTCTGACTTTTGCTCATTTTCCTCTGGGTCTCTGCCTATCAGTCCCTGTCAGTCTGTCTTTGTTTTGCACTGTAGCTGCTTGTCCTTTGTCTTTCTGCCCGTCTCCAACACCACATATTTCCTGCCTTCTTTTTCTGTCAATAAATCTTTTCACTGCCTGCCTCCTCCACCTTCCGCTCTTCTGCCGCTCAGCTCCGCTGACAAACCCCCCTCATCTCTTTCCCCCCCTCTGTCCTCTCACTCTGCTCATCTCTCAGCTGCCACGGTTACCCTGTCTCTCCGGAGCCTGGTTGCTCCTCCTTGTCACTCACTCTCACTAAATCACTGCCTAGGCACTAACTGTGCCTTCCACCCTTGGGGTTCCTTCCTGTCAGCCTTTCTTTATTTTTATCTTTCTCTTTGCTTATGAGCATTTTACCAATTCTCCGATTTTGGTTTATCTCAAGCTTCTATAACAGTCTTTCTCGATATTTCTGTCAAGGACCCTCTGTCCCTCACTCCGTTTCCCTTTGCCTGTCTCTTCTATGCAGCGAATCTTTCTTCTTGGCTTTCCCTCAATCTATGTATGTCTTTCTCTACATCCCCTTGGTCTTTCTTTTGGTGCATGGGACGACACCCAACCAATGGAGCCACACTGACCAGGGCTCCTTTGTCTTTCTTTAGCTCAGCTTCTTGGCAGGAATTTTAGAAAATCTTCCTGTCTCTTGCTTTTGCTCATGTATCTTTTCTGTGGGTGATTACAGGTTATCTCTTGTCCATTGTTTAGTAGACTAGCAACCTTAATCTGCTCTACACTCCCCATAACCTGGCTATTCTGGCTCTAAACCCAGGGAGGGGGTTTATGCAATAGAAAGAAAAAAAAATGCCGCCATGTAACCCTGGCCAGTTGGTTAGAGTGTCGTCCCGATATGCCAAGGTTTCAGGTTCGATCCCTAGTCAGGGCACATACAAGAAGCAACCACTGAATGCATAGATAAGTAGACCAACAAATTGATGTCTCTCTCTCTCTTTCTCTCTCTCTCTCCATCCAAAAAAAAAAATCAATCAATCAAAACAAAAGAAAAAATGCAGCAGAAGTGGCAGGGGAGAAAGGAGAGCTTGCAAATGACTTCATGGCTCTGCAGCCAACAGGAAGCCTTTGCTTGGCTCCTTCTGCCTGTTCCTCATTCTCCCATGAAGGCCTGGGCCTAGGAAGACCCTACACCAGCGGTTCTCAACCTGTGGGTCGCGACCCCTTCGGGGGTCGAACGACCCTTTCACAGGGGTCGCCTAAGACCATCGGAAAACACATATATAATTACATATTGTTTTTGTGATTAATCACTATGCTTTAATTATGCTCAATTTGTAACAATGAAAATACATCCTGCATATCAGATATTTACATTACGATTCATAACAGTAGCAAAATTAGTTACAAAGTAGCAACAAAAATAATTTTATGGTCGGGGGTCACCACAACATGAAGAACTGTATTAAAGGGTCGTGGCATTAGGAAGGTTGAGAACCACTGCCCTACGCTGTGCACCCAGAATGGGTGTTTGAGTCCCTACTCCGGCTCTGTCCTAAGAAGAGAGACCTAGCCCCATGTTCACTCCTCTAAGAATATGCCCTTTCTTCGAAAAGGTCAAGATATTCTAAAAATAAATTTCGGAAAGGCAGATGCTGGACACAGTAGGACTCAGGTTAAGTACAAACACAACAGTGGGGTTTTGAGAACCAGAAATATCAGCAGCAATCTCCATGACCCAGGTCTTTGGTCTCTTAGCAGCTGGTATGTCTATATAACTACTGGCTACAGATAGCACCCGTGGTGTTCTCCTCCCACTGCCAGAATTTGGTCATAGGTGAGATCTCTCTTCCCTCTGGCCTTACCCTCTCCATACCAGATCTCTACTCCTAGGTGAGACTTCACCTTCCCTCATCTGTCCCTGTGCTAAAGCAAAGGGTTTCTGTTCCCCTTGCCAGTTACGTTCAGTCTCATGGGTCCTGCCACCCTTTATTGGCAGCACTGGCTGTACCTCTTGAATTAGTTTTCTGGAGAGGACTAATTATCTGATGATGAAATGCAAAGAACGTTATCTGATGATGAAATGCAATGAACATGAACGTTAGCCCAGACTCCCAGCCACCCACCAACATTACCATTGCTTCTCAGATCCTAGGCGTGGGGGAGGGGTATGAACTTGCTGGAAGAGGAACTGAGATACTGAAAATCCAGCCCAGTCCTTACCCCAGTGGGGGGCTGTGCATTGAAGACCATCATCTCCTTGTCCCGGTCCGAGCTCCCGCAAGAGTGGCAGAAGAAGAACCCGAGGCTTCTCCCTAGTCTTTCAGGCCGAGAGGGGAACCATCCTTGGTGGCAGGCTCCCCATTGCATGTCCTGGTGACCCTAGTTTCCCTGTGCCCAGGGTTGGATGAATGAGGCCGAGGCCGCAGGACATCATTGATCAAAATGCGAACACCCTGTGAGATGCTCATGGCTCCCACAGTGGCCAGCCCGGTGCCACCAAGGACAACCAGAGCAGGAGGCACCTGGTGGTGCTGCTGGAGCAACCACAGACTCATCCACCCCAGTGGTGCCAGGCGGAAGAGGGCCAGGGTGGCCAGGGTGGCCCAGCTGGCCACACTGAAGGCCAAGGATGGGGCCTGGTGAGAAAGCAGCAGCAACTTTCTTAGGTGCAGGCAGGCGGAGTTCAGCTCGAGGAGCAGAGACACCACGGAGAAGCCCACATAGTGGTCGGACAGAATGGCGGTGCCGAGGCAGCTCACTACCTGGGGAGCAAGGGCCAAAGGTTAGAAGACCTTCCGTGACCTACCACCATCGCGTCCTAATATCCCAGTCCTCCCAAGCATGTTCTGGCATTCTTTCCCTGAAAACACCCAACTTTATGCCTACCCTATGCCAGGAGCCTGCATGGCTTTGAAACCATCTTTCTCTAGGATGGAAGCAGCCTTGGCCAGAGGCTGTCTTCTCTGGGGCTGTAGCATCTGCAGAGTAACCCCCCAACTTCCATCCTGGCCTTTCATGCCCCATTCCCACTCCCAATACGGGGGCTCCCTCCTTCTCAGAAAAGCTCCATGTTTAAGGTTTCTGCAATCAACAGGACACCTGTGTGGGCGAATGCAAGCCCCCGAGGCAGTGCTCAGACTCGCAGCTGTGCCAGCAGTCAATCCCCGCCCCTCAATTCAGCCCAAGGTTGGGAGGATCAAGCCCAGGGGAGAAAGAGGTGTCAGAGGCTCTCTGGGAAGTCATGGGACATAAAGCTGATGAGAGATCGGGGTGTGCAGTCGGTACACCTCCCGTCCTGCCTCGCCTCTCCCTGAATCTCACCGCCAAATGGTGACAGAGAAGATCCCAGGCCTGGCCCAAGGTCTGGTTCAGCAGCATGTCAACTCCATCAGCCAGGAAATAACCTATGGGGAAGGGCGGCAGCTGGGGTACAGCCGGAGAGAAATCTCCAGCCCCTACCTTTCCCAGAGCTTTCCTCTCCCTCAGTAACGCTGACAGAAGCGCACCTGGGATTGCCATTACCGTTGGAAGCTGTTCCCCGCCCCCAAGCTGGCCCAGCCTTCCCTGCAGACTCACCCACAGATACAGCCACCAGCACCAAGGCCCAGGGCGGGTGGCCATGAATGGGGTCGGCGGCCATCTGAGGGTATAGCAACAGCCTAGAGGAGACGGGGAGCCACCGTCAGCTTCGTGCAGACCGGATTCTCCTGCAGGGCACGCCCCGTCCACCCATCCCAGCCTCAGGCTCTCAAGGTTTAGCATCCATTTTAAAGGTGCCGCCAGGTCTTCCAACGTGAGCTTCCCATCCCTCGCCCTCATCCAGGTCTCTCCCGAACCTCTAAGACCCGCACCCGAGCAGCGCCCCGGGCCCCGTGAGCAGGCTGTGCACCAGGGAGACACAGATGTTCTGCCACTTCCAACGGTCCCGAGCCGCAGATGCCGGCGTGGGTAGCAGCTGCAGCCCCCAGTGCAGCCCCCGGAAGGCTGCGAAGGAGGCACCGGTCACCAGGAGCCCCGAGGGCGCCATGGCCGGGCGGGCGGGCTAGGTCCGGATCGGTTCCGTGGGCCCCTGAGCACTCGCCCCCGACGCATCCGACGCCCGCTCCGGAGACTGTGACCCGCGTCGCGGCGGGGCTGCGTTCCTGGGCTCGCCGGCCCTCCCGGCCTGGGGAATCCGCAGTAACTTTTCCAGGGATGGTCCACGATCTCCCGGCTGGACGGTGATTGGAGCAGCCGCGCGGCCACCGCCCCTGGAGCCTAGGCAACCGACCGCGTCCCGCCCTAGCGACAGACTGCGGGCTGGAGGCTCCCGGGATCGGCCGTGCCACGGAGCTCAGGGGACTTCTGGGAAGTCGACAGAGGTCTCCCCCAGCTCCCCGAGTCCTGAACTCTTTAGAGCTCCAGAAATAGGTCACCAATCTCACCTGACACTCCCGGAGGCCCCGCCCCACTAACTTTCCCCTCTTTCCCCTCCTCTCCAATCTTACAATCTGGCTATCCCTCCCACCCCACCCCACCCACACGGCCCTGGGGTGAGAGGCCAGGGCAAACCCACTGCCACTTGCTCACACCCCTCCCCCGTCTCAGGTGTGGGGGAGAGGGCACTTCACTGCCTTGGAGCCAGGCACCCCTTCTACCTCCGGAGGTTTCTAGGCCCACAGCGCATCCCAGCAACCCTACAGTTCCTGGAGTCCTGCCCCTCACCTAGTACCTCTCAAATAGAACAGCTGCAGCTTCCATTTGGGAGAGGGAGGGGCCCAATGGAAACTCCTCCCTCCACCTTTTTTGGGTGCCCTATAGAGGAGTCTCATCGTTAGGAAGGGGAGGCAAAGAGAACCACTCAGCACTATAGTCCTGAGAAGCCCCCCTCCCCCGAGCTGGTACCTGGTGGGTGGACAGAATATCTCCCAATCCGAGGAGGCCGGGAGAGGTCAGAGAGTCACCTCAAGGTTTGGACAGAATCGAAGAGAAAACAGAGCGCATCATCGTGCTTTCCGCAGCAGGATTGTTAGGATTCCAGAACCCTTCAGCCTGTAAAGGAAAATCTCTCCCCGCACCCCTATTTCCTGAAGAGTTGGTACTGCTTTCCATCTTACTCCACACCTGGAGTTGGTTGCCAGCCAGAAATTCAGGGCCCTTTCCTGTACGTGGAACAGGCAGATACCAGTTACTGCCAGAGAATGAATTTCTTAAGCAGATAGGAGGCAGCTGATTGATGATCCTGCTCCCCGAACCCTCTCACAACCCTTTCCCCACCAAAACGCCATTAAACCCAAGGCGCTAGGGACATCCCTTCATTCTTCCACACCCACCTCTCCAAAAAATTTTTTTTAAAGTTACACTGATTCTTTTAAATTTTGTTATATGAAAGCCATCCACAATTAATGTAGCAAATTTGGAAGTTATAGGGGAAAAAAAGCCAGAAGAGGAAAATTACAATTACTTTATTCCACCATCCAAAGATAACCATTATTAACACTTTAGAGTACAGCCTCAGTCTCTATCTGTTTCATGTATTGTATGCAAGTATATACTTATATTTTAAAAAACAAAATTGAGATCACTTGACATACTGGTACACCATTTTTATAATCTTTTAATTTTTTTGTTAATCCTCACTTAGAGTCTTTTCTCCATTGATTTTTAGAGTGGAAGAGAGGAAGGGAGGGAGAGAGGAGAGAGATATGGATTGGTTGCTTCCTGCAACCCAGGTACGTGCCCTTGACCAGGAATTGAAGCGGAGACCCATTGGTGCACTGGCTAATGCTCTAACTACTGAGCCACTGACCAGGGCTATAACCTTTTTTAATATATTTTTTTTAAATATATTTTATTGATTTTTCACAGAGAGGAAGAGAGAGAGATAGAGAGTTAGAAACATCGATGAGAGAGAAACATCGATCAGCTGCCTCCTGCACATCTCCCACTGGGGATATGCCCGCAACCCAGGTACATGCCCCTGACCGGAATCGAACCTGGGACCTTTCAGTCCGCAGGCCGACGCTCTATCCACTGAGCCAAACCGGTTTCGGCACCTTTTTTAATATTTAAAGAACATTTTTCTTTTCAAATATTCTTCATGACTTTTAAAAATACATTTTTATTGATTGCAGAGAGGAAGGGGAGGGAGATAGAAACATCTATGATGAAAATTATCAATCAGCTGCCTTCTACACATCCCCTGCTGGGGTTCGAGCCCGCAACCCTGGCATGTGCCTTTGACCAGAATCCAACCTGGGACCCTTCCGACCACAGGCTGACACTCTATCCACTGAGCCAAACCGGCTAGGGCTCTTTAATGTGACTTTTAATGGCTGTGTAGTACTCCACCATCTGGATATACAATAATTTATTTAAGCAACCCCCTATTGCAAATTTTCTTTACAGCAGAAATGAATTCCCAGACAATTGTTTCTCTATTGCAATGCTGGAATGAACATCCTATAACTAAATATTTATTTTCTTAGGCTAAATTCCCAAACGTAGGATTACTAGGTCAAAGGCCATGGTAATATGTTTGATACATAGTACCAAAGTTATATCCAGGAAGGCTGTACCAATTTGTACCCTATATGCAATGTATGTGAGTGTTATTTTAGTACTCCTTTGCTGACAACTGGGTCTTATTTTGTCTGTTATAGCTTGCTATGAGAAAAATGCTTTGCGGGGGGGGGGGGGGGGGGGGGATGAAGGAGGTCAGTGGGGGGGGGGAAAGGACATCTGTAATACTTTCCACAATAAAGATAATAAGAAAAAGAAAAATGATTACAGCTGTATTTGCCTCTCTTTAATTACTAATGAAGTACACATTTGTTGTCATGGTTTTATCCATTTGCATTTCTTTTATGAATTTCCTGTGTATGTCCTTTCACAGCTGGCTCTTGTTCCTTGAAGCTGCTTATATGTAAATTACAAGGTGGGAGAGAGGTGGAAGGAGGAGGATGAAGCCACAGGACACTTTAATATGGTCCCACATCTCCGAAGAAGGTGGAGAGATTGAAGATGCCTGGAAGCTTGTCCTTGCTGGAGGCTGGCTGTCCTCCCTCTTCCTGGGGTGCTCCTGGCCTTTATGCCCCCCCTCTGCAAGGTGCCCAGACAGGTCCTGTGCTCTCCAGGCTTTGTCCTTCACTGGTCTTCCGCCTGCCTCTGTGTTCCCAGGATGCTCCTCCTCATCTCTGCTCCATGATAGGTGAGGATGGCAGAGCCACACACCCAGGCTGGAAGGAAACACTGTGGCCAGTGAAGCGAGGAGGGGAAGAAAGGACGGAAGCAATGTCCAGGGACAGAGTGATCTTTGTTGAGTGGACTCAGTCTACCCACCCCCTTCTAACACAGTCCCACACACATCGGCTTAAGCTGTGGAAGAGCTGGGTTCAATGGTCTACTCTCCCCTAAATCTTTGAGTTTCTCATAAATGGGTAATAGGACCCGGCTCCTCTTCCCCCCAAATAGAACAAACAGCTTCCTGCAGCCCCTGAAGGCAGCCACCTTCAGGCAGGGATTCTAGGCCAAGGCTGAACCACACCAGAGCCTGAGCCAAAGAGTGAGACTGGATCAGGATGTGGGGATGGCAGGTTTACACTGCCTGATGCCCCCAAGGGGGGTTGAGTCCCAGAACTCAGCTCTGCTGGCTGCTGGAGGGGAGAATTTTTCTGCCTGCACAGGCCTGAGTTGAGTTTCACACACCATCCTGGAAAGCAAAGTGAGGAAGAAGAGCAGTGGTAGCCATCAGGGGCCGCAGTCTTATTATGGGTGGCAGAGGATGCCTGGGGCCACCCTAGCATGATGAGAAGTCAATGTAGAGACTGAGCCCCTTTAACCCTCCAACCCCCTATCCCTGGGGTTATTGTCAGGGAGGGGGGAGGGGCAATAGCTTAAGTGAAAAGCTGTTCTGTTCCCACCCCAAGCTGAGTCTGCACAAATGGGCTTCTGATTCCCTCAGGCACACTCAACTGGGCGATTTCTCCATACCACAGGTAGGTGGAGAAGCTGAGACCGGATGTCTAAGGGTGCCACATATAGGTAAGTAACCCTGAATCTAGAGTCTGGGCCAGTCTAAGGAAATGCAGGGAAAGGTAAGAGGTATGACTACTGAGATGGCAGGAAGAGGCAAGCTTACTTCTGGACCTCACCTGGAAAGGCCAGTGGAAAGAATGAGGGATAAGGAAGGAGGGTAAAGAAAGACACCTGGGTAAAGGGATAGACAGGGTTTTCTTTGCTCCACTTCCTCCCACTGTCACACAAAGGCTGACTAACTTTGGGCAGTCAGAGCCATCTATCCCCTCATTCAGTCAGGGTCTCTCAAATTGTTCTCTCTTGCAGCGCCAATCAGAGTGAAGGCTCTCCGACTGAACAAGGTTCCCTTTCCTGAAACATACCATCATCACTCCTGCAGACCTTCCCAGCCCCAGTTCTGTCACCTTCCAGATGAGCGGGAAAGCAGCTCCTTCTCCTCCTTGAAGCCAGCGGCAGAGGGCAACAGTTCTTCAACTGGCAGCTTTAGCTGGGTCAGGACATAAAGCTTGCCACTGAAGAACTACTGCGGCTCAGCCAGGTGAGGGTGTGGGAGGTACAGGCTCCTAAAGGCAAAGGGAAGAAAAACGGGAAAGGCCTGAGCAGGGCCATGGCACAGGGACACTGTCCACCCAAGTCCAGTCCCAGCAGACACTCAACCTTCTAGGGAAGGGTTCTTAGCCTGGGCCTGCGGGAGCTCAGTGAGAAGCAAGAGGCAGCTTTTCCCTTGCTCCTCTTTCCGGAACTGCAGGAACCCAGGCTCTCATCCCCTTTACCCCAGCCACACATGGGGTGGGGGGCAGCCTACTCAGCATTGGGAAAAGGCAGGACCTGGGACCCTGGCTGGACACACCCTACCCTTTTTCAAGGTACTAGGTGAGAAGTTGTGTCTCAGGTCCAGAAATGAGTTCAGTGATCAGCCCAACTGATTTCTTCCCAGAGAGTTCAGCTGGAAAAAGTTCTGGGGGGCCTGGATCTGGGGAAGAGTGAGGAAGGGAGGAGGTCTAGAGTTTGGAAGGTCAGCAGAAGCTCCTGGGACTGTGAGGAGAGGACAAGGGACCAAAGGCTGGAGGGGAGGGAGATTAGGCAGGGAGGTTGGGCAGCCTCCCCTGGACTCTCAAATGCCAAGCATTCCGCTTGCGCATTCCGGGTACATCTGGTATGAATTCCAGGCTGTCTGCCGGCCCCTCCAAGTCTGAACTTTGTTCCAAGTTCCAAGCCCCGCCCCCACAGTTCCAACGCATGAATCAGCAGGAAAAGCCGGGCCCTGCAGCATGGCCCGGGGAGGGGGTTGGGGGCGTGGCAGGCTCGGGGGAGGGGGGGCAGTGAGCTGGGGAGGGCGGGTCTGTGCTGACACTCGGCCCAAGGGCATGCCCATGCCAATGGGAGTGGCCAAGGTGGTCTTGCCTCGAGATTTCTACACTTAGAGGGTAGAAAAGATTAGGGTAAGGTTGGGAGGTTTTCAAATGACAAAACCCTCTTGGAAAGCATGAATTTTGAGGTATCTGCCTTCCCCCAAGTGACCAGTCCCCAGCTCCTTCCCACCCCCCTCGGTCTGAGCCAGCTCTGGTCAGCCCAAAGGACTTAGCGGCTACTGAGAGTTTGTGCCAAGCAGGTGCCCTTGGCTGCAGAGCGGGGTGGGTCCAGGGCACTGACCCTCTGACCAGCTGCTCCATCAACCTTCTGGCACCCTGACAGCTTCCAGCCCAGTCTGACAGCCAGGATGACAGGCCAGAAGAGTTGGAGGCTGGAACTAGGGCCAAGGGAGGTGGGGGCGATAGCCTAGCCCGAGGCCACGGGGAGGGGCCAAGAGTTGGCCGAGAGGTGGGGAGAGAGGGAGCCCAGTGATGACTAACCCAGGCGCCCCACCCAGCCAGCCGGTTTCCCAGGCGGTCGGGGCCAGGCCTGGGCTAGGGCCCCCACGACCGGACGGGCTTGGGGGAGGTGCAGAGGTGACCTTCTCTCGGCCCAAGACGGCTAGTGAGGCTGGGGCGGGGGGGGGGGGGGGAGGTAGAGTTTCCAGGCCTTCCTCGTGCCCGCTCCCCCCACCCACCGCGGTGAAACCCTAAACCTTTGGGTTGCATAAGGCCCCGGCACCGCCGCCCCCTACTCCTCTCCCCTCCCCCCTTACATAACATACCCTGGAGGCAATGAGAGGAGGGGCCGGCCCGCCCAGGGACCCCTTCCCTGCCGGGGTACTCAGCCGGCCTGACTCGGGGAGTGCCGGTAGAGGCAAAGCACCTCCGCCGCCTCCCGCCTGGTCCAAATCCTCTCCGGGCTGAGTGGTCGGTCCCGTATTCTCGGGCCAGAGGGCGCGAGGTTAGCCGCCCCCAGCCCTCCCGCCCTCACCGCCCTCCCAGCTACTCCGCAAGACCTTCCGCCACGACTCCTGTCTCGGACTCTTTTTAAAAAACCTCCAGACACACTCCTCTAGCTAGTCCAGGACCCTCTCCCCCGGAGCGCCCCTGCCTCCGCCGCCCCCTCTCCCCTCCCCCGGAAGGGCAGGGTGTGGCCGCCAGGACCGTACTTGCCCCCATTACCCCGTTAGCACGGCTCCCTCCAGTGCGGCCAGGACCCCAGTTCACACCCACCTGGTGCCGGGTGTGTGCGGGGGGTGCTGAGGACAGGGGAGCAAATCAGTGCGTCCGTGCCCCACAGCCGGCGGCGCTCTCTTCCCAGCGCCCAGCACACACCGGCTCCAGTCTCCGATCAGCTGGCGGCGTAGTGACGCACAAGTTGCGATTGCACCGCCCAGGGCCAATCACCGCCTACTGGTGTGCAGCGTGACCACACCCACTCGGGGGCGCCAGCCCTTCGCCCTGATCCCGCCTCTCCGGCTGTCTTAGCTCTGATTGACAAGGAGGCCACCCCTTTGCCGAAGTAGAGTTGCACTAAGCCACGCCCACCAACTCAAGAGCTGGCCAATAGGTGAAAAGGTGTGGCTCGGCCCTCCGCTAGGCTACTTGCTTTGAAGAGCGCTACGTCAAACCAGGGTCCGACCGAGCAGCAGGAAGTAAAGGCGTGTGTGTTTGCTGTGCATTCTGGTCCGTGTAGTTCTCGAGCTGACACCCCGTTCCCAGAATTCAGAGCGCTCTGTGAGTTGGCATTTTTAAATCATCTCTGAATCCATCCCCGGCGAAATCCTTAAAGGGCTACAGCCCCTCCTTTTTGGAGCCGTGAGTGCTTCTTTTAGACAACCCCAAAATGGATTCGCTGACCTCTGCAGGAGGCTCTCTAAGGAAAAGTGGAGCAGGCGAAGCAGCAGGAGTGGGGAGAACTGAAGGTGGAGATCAGTCCCCAGGGCAGCAGACTCTGCCACTGGATGGGAACTCCTGAGGGCTTTTGGGGTGGGGAGGACTGCCTGCCTCACCAAGCCCCAGCTTTCACTGGAGAGATCTAGTCCACCCCTCCTGGGGGTGGGGGTGGGGGTGGGGGTGGGGGGAAGGCTTCCTGATCAGGGGACTTTTCGTGGAGATGTCTGGTCCCAGTCGCAGGGATAGAGCCGCTTCCTAACAAAAGACTCATACTTTTTCGCGGCTGTGAAGCTGGGGAAGTCCCGGCCGGGCCGAGGACATCGCTCTCATGGTCCTCCCAGCCCTCGACCCTCCCCCAAAGGCCCTTAATAAAATGGTTTGCTTACCCCAACCCTTCCCCCCACCTCACCCCCCCCCCCCCAAATAAAAAAGATTCATAGTACAGTCTTCACCTGAGGGTAGATGGAAGACTTCTGGTCAGAAACTAGGGGATGGCCGTGTCAAAGTACAACTGGCCGGCAACCCCATCCTCTGCCTTAATACCCCATTCAGTACCGCCCTTCAGAAGCTTTGCACTGACTCAGACCTACTTAGGGAAGAGATTTCGAAGGTAGAGACCAATGAGGAGGCTGCTCCTTCCCTCGGGGGCCAATCACAGCTTAGAGGGGCGGGGGATGGGCAAAAACTGAAAGGAACCCAGTGACTTGGCAAAAGCTGCTCCACTGCCTATTGAAAGGGGCAAGTGTGGGACCCACCCCGTAGCATCACTCCTCCGCCCTTCCCCCTTCCCAGCTGAACCCACACGGGATCCACGACTTTTCCACGAGCTCCAAATTGGGGGTGAGGTTCACTGAGCCGAAAGGATTTGGCTGGAGTGCGAGACAGTTCCTTCTGTATTCAATACGGGCTCAGCCAAGCGATTGCTCTGGTTTCTAGGAGCACCACGATTCGCCACTTGTGTTCAGAACATTGCGCCTTTAAGGAAACTTTCTGCCTTCCACCCCAGTAACAGCTGACTGCTGGAAAGTGTGACCTCAGGGGACAAATCAGCTGTTACCACATCCTCCTCTTGGCCTGCCCTGCTCCATCTGATGACTCTCCCCCCCCCCCCCCCCCCCCCCCACCGGCAGGGAGGGAATGAAGGAGACAGAACCCCAAATATGGGGGACCTGCTTGTATGTTCCTTCCTCTTCCCCCTCTCTCACTGTCACCATCTGCCTCCCTCCTTTCTCCCTCCCCCCTGCTGGTTAGTTCTTCAGAGGTTCTGAGCTTGGAACCAGAGGTATTTCCTGTCGGCTCAGACCCACCCTCCCTGGTCTAGTCAGGGAGGCCAGTACTGGGGAGGCCCAGAATGGAGGCTGGAGGGGTGTGCGGGGGCTCCAGGAATGGGAACTGGGGAAAGTCCAGGGAAGCTTCGGACTAAGCCTAGAGGAGCGGGACGGCTGTGGAAAGCAAGCCTCCGGGGTGTCAGAACCCTGCTCCCTGGGCCGGCCAGCTGCCCTTTGCTCCCTGCTCAAGTCGCCCAGTACCTCCCCAGACAGGGACCTGCTAAGTGAATCGCCCTGGCCTTGCTTCTAACTCCACTTCTGTTTTCAGATGCCACCTTGGCTGCTTCCGTTTTTACACTCTTACCCTCTACAGCAAGGGAGCGAATGTGGCGCTTCCCGGGGCTGCAGGTGGAACAGGACTGGCCCCAGGAACCAGCGGCTTTGGCTGGGAAGCCCTGCAGGAAGACCTAAGTAAATATTTTGCCCCCAGCTCTGAGCTGGGAATCAGGGTCACTCCAGGACAAGCTGAGTGTGAAGTCCCAGGAATGACTTGGCAAGGTTGGGAGAAACTGATCAGGGCCTTGGCCAAGCTTGGAAGGAAGAGAAATCTCACCAGCTGACCCGTTCCCATTATCCTTGGCGTAGAAGTCCCATCCCCTTTCCACCCAAAGGCCCTGTGGTAGGCTCGTCTCTCTCTGGTTCTGCTAAGTCTCCATCCCCTCACCCTCCCATCCTAGCGCAAAAGCACAGGCTGTTTCAGTCCAGGGTTTCTCAATCTCAGCACTATTGACATTTTGAATTGAATAATTTCTTGCTGTGGGGCTGTACTGTGGAGGCGAGTATCCCTGGCCCACTAGATGCCATTAGCAACACAACTTGACCCCTCCCCATGACAACCAAAAGTCTCTTCAGACGTTACCAAATAGTCCCTGGGATCCTGAATTGCCCCCAGTTGAGAACCACTGAGTTAGACAAACTTGGATTCAAATTCTAGGTCTTACCAGCCCTGAGCTGGATGAAATACTTAACATCTCTGAGCCTCAATGTTCTCATCTACAAAATTGAATGAATAATAAATTCATATTGTAGGGATTAAAGAAGGAAATGCCTAGCACAGTACCAGGCTCACTGGCCCACAGGTGGTGCATTAAACATTAGCTTCCTTCACTTCTCTCCCTGCCAGATCAGCAAAGGCTAACCTCACCCGGCATGGGCTGACTGCCGGGGCAGCTGCAGCTTGCCTCCCTGACTATCCAAGCCATGACCTCCAGGACACTCAATATGGAGGTTGGCAAAGGGGGCTGGCTAATTTGGTCCTAGATTCTCCAAAGCCCAAAGGTGCTTGGGTTGGGATTCAAGGGAAATTTGGGAATAGATCTATTACAGAGCATTATATCTCAAGATGTGGCCTGCAGATTGCCTGCATCAGAATTACCTGGGGTGCTTGTTAAAAATTCAGATTCCTGTCCTAGCGGGTTAGGCACATGCCCGGGTTTCAGGCTCGATCCCCAGTAGGGGGCGTGCAGGAGGCAGCCAATCAATGGTTCTCTCTCATCATTGATGTTTCTATTTCTTCCTCCCTCTCTCTTCCTCTCTGATATCAATAAAAATATATTTTAAAAAAATTCAGATTCCAGCCCTGGCCAGTGTTGCTAAGTGGTTAGAGCACACACACCAAAGGGTCTCGAGTTTGATTCCTGATCAAGGGCACATACCTGGGTTGCGAGTTGTGCCCCGGTCAGAGCACGTGTGGGAGGCAACCAGTAGATGTGTCTCTCGTGCCGATGTTTCTCTCTCCCTCCCTCCTTCCCTTCCACTCTCTCTGAAAAGCAATGGAAAAAAAATCCTCAGGTGAGGATTAACAAAAAATAAAAATCCAGATTCCTGGATTTCATCCCAGGCTACTGAATCAGAAGTACATCATAAAGTTTGAAAACCACTGTTTTAGGGCTCAGATTGGGGAAGGTGTCATTGCCCCGGAAATCTTAGTGCACCCAGTACCCACCATTGCAAGGACTTTCTTATTCAAGAGAAAGAAAGAATTCTGATTGGGTTTCCTCTCTTGGAAATACATGTTCCCTGGCAGCCAAGGTTGATCTGACTCTGTATGACTCATTAATCCTAACCAGTTCATTAATTCTCTTCTTTGCTCTCACTGTTCTGCAGATTCAGGCTATTACTAGAACAGTAAGATTTATTTTAGAATCTAAGCTATTTCTAAATGTTTTAAATATTCCCTTCTATATTCTGGCATTGAAAAGGCATAACTTAAAGTGAAAATTAAAAGGAAAATCTTATGGAATCATAAAAAACAAAAAGGAATTCTGAGGTAAGGTTAGTTACACCCAAGGTCATTGTTACATTGCAAGCCAAAACCACTAGAGGGCAGGGCACACACAGACTTGCAGAAAGAAAAAGTATAGTGCCTGTTCAGTCTAGGTAAACTGAGACCAGAGTAAAGACCAGATGGACCTAATTTTATTGGTACTCAGAAGCAAGTACTACCTCCTGACCATCAAAACCTATCCTCTAGCCTCAGGAACACAGACCACAGTTGGGGATGAGAGATTGACAGGAACACCTAATTTCCCTGCTGGAAAAAACAATAGTGCAATGGCCAAGGAGTACAGGGAACACTGGTTTTAGATAGGCCTCGATTTGAATCCTGGCTCTACCACTTCTTAGCTATGTGACCTCGGGCAAGTTACCTAAGGTGGCCATTCTCCTAATCCAGATGAGGATTAAACAAAACAAGGTATGTGAAGTGTTTAGCGTGGTGCCTGGATCCTAATCAGTGGTTGTAAGTTACTACTTATGACCCAGGTCCTATGACCAAGCACTTCAAGGGTTCCAGCTGCTCCTTCAAGAAAGAAGACACAGCAGCCCTGGCCGGGTGGCTCAGTTGGTTGGAGCATGGACCTGTACACCAAAAGGTTTGGGGTTTGATTGCCAGTCAGGGCACATACCTAGTTTTCGGGTTCAATCTCTGGTAGGGAGGCAGCCGATCCATGTTTCCCTCTCACATCCATGTTTATCTCTCTCTAAAAACAATCAGTAAAAACACATCCTCGGGTGAGGATTAAAAAAAAAGAGAGATGGAATCAGATTATAGCTGAGCCATTCCTGTCTCCTCTCTAATTTGGACTGTAGTTTTTCTTACGTGACCTCAAGGAACCCCTTACACCTCTACACCAACTACAACACTCTCCTTCTCCTTCTCGGGGTGAG